TGCACCTTTAAGGGCTCCAGGGCTGGGAGGGGGGCAGAAGAGTTTCCCTGGTGGTGCCCAGAGTGGCCACCAGGGAAAGCTGGGGAGGGCTAGCCTCCCACTAGTTTGAATTAAGGGGCTACACAGCCCTTAATTCGAACTAGGCTTAGTCCTCGTGGAATGAGGTTTACCTAGTTCGAACTAAGCGCTTCACTAGTTCGAATTAACTTTGTAGTGTAGACATACCCTAACAGTTCTGCCAACAGGGAGGGCCAAAGGGGGCAGTAACCCTGGACCCAGAGCTCTTGGCCACCATTGCAGCTAGTACAACAGCGGCAATAGCTGGAGCCCCAGGACCCTTAAATTGCCCCAGAGTGCTGGGTGGCATACTCCAGGCGGCTCTGAGGGCTGGGGAGGGGAGGGGAAACATGCTCCAGGTGGCTCTGAGGGCTGGTGGGGGGAGTAGGGTTGCCAGGTCTCTGGTTTTGACCCAGACAGTCCAGTATTTGAGCTTTCTGTTCGGGAAACAAATTGAGAAAATATAAATGTCCGGTATTTTCTAAATGAGATGTAATGTAGATTGTGATGTAATGTCAAGTGTGCCCGGTATTTTTGTTGAAACCATCTGGCGACCCTAGTGGGGAGGGGATACACTCTCTGGGCAGTGCTGAGGGCCGGTGGGGCAGGGAGTCATGCTCTGGGCAGTGCTGAAGGCTGGGGGCAGGGAAACATTCTCCAGGAGGCTCTAAGGGCTGGTGTGGGGAGGGGAACAGGGGTGGCCCGTGGCTATAGGCGGACTCGGCCGCCACCTAGGGTGCCACCGCCCGGGGAACCCAATGATGACGTCACGGAGGCACCCGGGGTGCCCGCCAATCACATCAGTCCATTGACGGCCCTGCAGGCGGGGGCGCCAATCGCGCGTTCCGCATGGGGCACCAGCTGCCACAGCCCACCTCAGGCTGCTCCTGGAGGGGAAACATGCTTTGGGTGGTGCTGAGGGCTGGCTGCCCCAGCACCGTCTCTTCTGCCCAAGACTCTGCCCCTTCTGGGAGTGCAGAACCAGGCCCCCACACACTCCCTGCCTAGGGCCCCAGCACCTCTGTCAGCTACTCTGGTCATAAATTACTTCTACAACCAACAGTGGAGACAAAATCCAGCATCCAGATTAAAAATGGGATTTACTTGTCTGAATAGTGTCAAACATAAGGGAAAAGATACATTTGTGTAGATCTTCAGTGTTAAGTTTAGTTGTTTTACTTACAGAAACATTAATGTGATAAAAATATGCTGTTTTGTTTATTCAGGAGTTCAAACTTTTGGCAAATGAGCTCATCCAAAGCCAAGCCTTACAACGTATGCAATTTAGACCGCAAAATTATTAATCTAAATGTGCATCAGGAGCAAGGTAGGAGCAAGAGAAAATGCTGTGTGACTCTTTCAATTGTAATCAATAACTAGAAGATTTATTGGGCATTGCATTGGTCTTTAACTCCATTTTTGTTTTTTTGGAAAATAAAATGAAAATGTATATGCTTCATTGAAATCATGGCTCCGGGGTGGGGCTAGAGATGAGGGGTTCAGTGTGCAGGCTGATCTGCAAAGAGAGGACTACTCCATTCCCCTCTCACCACAGCAGCTGGGAGCAGATGAGACGCCCATTCCACGGAGCAACCTCTACCTATGGCGAGCCTGGGCCTGCTGCGGGCAGAGGCTGCTTCGCAGCAGCAGTCCCTATTCGCCTATTTGAAACCATGGGAGGGGTGGGCGGGCACAGCCTGCCCACTTCTCAAAGTCCCTCCTCCAGCCTTGTGGGAGGGATGACTAGACCCAGGGTTCAACTAATGTCGGGGGACAAATAATGACAAAAAGGATCAAGGTGGGAGGGGGCCATAGATTTAAAACAAGGAGACTGGATGGGGACACCGAGCAGAGAACCCTGGACAGCAGTCCCTATTCGCAGGAGGGGTCTGAGCTCCCGGTGGACAGAGGCTGGTGGCGGGGCAGCCCCCGTTCTCCGGCCTCTGTCTACAGCTAGCTTGGGCTGCCTGAGCAGCCTCTGTCTGCAGTAGCCTGGACTGGTTGCCGTGCCACAAAGCAGCCTCCCCAGCTGCCTCTGTCTGCGGGACTGCCTCTATCAGAAGCAGCAGTGCAGAGCGGCAGGGCAGCTGGTCCATGAGGGGAGCTGGTTTTTAAGCTGGCTCCCCTCATGGACCAGCTCCTGCCTGGCACCCTGCGCTGCTGCCTCTGATACAGAGGCAGCAGTGTAGGGTGGTAGAGAGCTCCCCAGGAGTGGAGCTGTATTGCACTGGCTGCCAGCTTTGACTCCAGGGACTGTAGAATAGTCGACTAACCACCAAAATTTCATGCAGTTAGTCAACTATTCTATTACCTGCTATCTAACATCCCTACTGTATACCAAATTTGGTGGTATTCTCACTGTTCAGGAGGAGTTCTTGAACGAGCAGATGGATACACACAGACAGACAAACTGTCTCAAATATAAAATAGATTTGTGTCATTCCATAACTCAGGTGGAACTCACCAATTATCCAATTCTTTTTTCCCCTATCATTTTAGGAAATATAGCATATCCCTCAGACAGTTTTTGTGGGAGGATGGAAAACTACTCAAATTCATGTGATGCTATTCTACATCCCAAATGGAAAATACATTGCTCAAAAAATGCAAACAAAGAATTTTGTTCCTGTTCTGTCAATAGGTGAGTGTGTGCTAACTATCACTCTAAGTTCCAAGCCAACACAAAACATCAACAAACTTCAAAATAGTGCAGGCGGAGGGGGGGAGAGGGGAACTGTCTCCTTCAGACCATTGTGCCTGTCAGTGCTCATGTATGAACATGTTTATAAACACACACATAAGATTTCTTAAATTATTTGCTGAACAAAGGTGAGGTTAACTTTAAGCATGTGTTTAAGTGCTTTGCTGAATCAGGGTCTTAATGCCATTATCCATGCTATAATCCAAGGTCTAATATGTTTTTTCCCAAGATCAGACTATTTAGCATGGATATATTTCCTATTATGAATAAATTGCTTTACCTGAATTAATAATTTGGCAATATTAATGGCATAGTTTTTTTAAACTTTTCCCACAATTGCTAACATTTAATTCAGATCTAGTAATATTTTTGTTTTTAACATGTAGAAATAAAAAGACAGAGAACAGAAAAACTGAAAATGAAAAGTCAAAATGTGGAAGATATTCGGTCTTCATTCAGGAAAAAGCAGTGGAGCTAGATTTGTCAGGTACTAACCTTCGTATCTAGAGATTGCATACAATGGCCAAAACTGCATATTTAATTACTACTGAGTCCTCATGGCACTTTGATGTCATCTCACAAGATCTGTAGAGAATGAAGATCTTAGTGAACATTTACCAAACTTTACTGACTAGGCTAATAGGACCCCAGTTTCAAACAGGTTTTCTAAAAAGCACCCATGTCATTTCCATGTGTGTAAAAAATTCTGTTTTGTTCATGCATGTGCAGGTTTTTGTATATGCTAACTAATGCACTCACAAATTTGGCATATACCTGATAATAGTTAGAACATGTGACCTCTAAAGTGTTTCAGCATTTCTGAGTCAGAGTATCTCCTCCCCCTGAAAAAAGGAAGGATTTTGATGAGACAATCCGTGCCTGGCATCCTCGTTGAGATTATTTCCCACCAGTCTGTTGATGGGAAGGAGGGTGGAAATGCCGTCTTCAAACTTTATGGCCTTGTGGCCTCCCCAGCTCCTTAACAGCAGAGTTCCATCAGAGCCACACTGCCAAAGATGTCCTATACTCCATTGAGCAGGGCAGCTCCCAGATCCCCCCAGAAGTTAACTTCTCTGGGGACAGAGAAGGGACAATGGGCAGTGTTACCTACAGTCAGCCCTACTACACCAGTGACAGGCAACCAAGGCTAGTGAGTCTGTCGTCTCAGTGAGCCGCAAGATTGAAATAAGTCACGTGCACTAACCCAAACTGTTTGGGTATGTCTACACTACCACCCTAGTTCGAACTAGGGTGGTAATGTAGGCAACCGGAGTTGCAAATGAAGCCCGGGATTTGAATTTCCCGGGCTTCATTTGCATCTCGCCGGGCGCCGCCATTTTTAAATGTCTGCTAGTGCGGACTCCGTGCCGTGCGGCTACGCGTGAAACGAGGAGTAACGGTAGTCTGAACTACCTAGTCCGAACTACCTAGTCCGTGCTGCGTGTAGCCGCGCGGCACAGAGTCCGCACTAGCGGACATTTAAAAATGGCGGCGCCCGGTGAGATGCAAATGAAGCCCGGGAAATTCAAATCCCGGGCTTCATTTGCAACTCCGGTTGCCTACATTGCCACCCTAGTTTGAACTAGGGTGGTAGTGTAGACATACCCAAACAGACTAACTTGGCTACCCCCTGAAGCTTCTTGATTGATACTCCTTTCTTATGCCTGTATATTTATACCTGCCTCTGGAATTACCACTACATGCATCTGACGAAGTGGGTCTTTGCCCACGAAAGCTTATGCTCCAATAAATCTGTTAGTCTATAAGGTGCCACAGGACTCCTCGTCGCTTTTGGTGTGAATCAGCTGATTTATGGTACACCAGAAGTGCTGGGAGGGAGAGGGAGGTGTAGGTAAGTGCAGGTTTCCAGTGCACTAGAGTTCTGGAGGAAAGGGGCAGAGAGGGGGTATATGGGGCACACATGTAATCCTGATGGGTTGCCTATGGCCTGTGGACCACCGGTTGCCCGCCACTGCTCTATAGCCTCCCACTGTGGTGCAGTGAAGATTGGTACACTCCACGTGTGACTTGAAAGGTATGAGTTGTTTCTGGGTTTGATTTCAAATCAGAGCATGTGGGCTCGTCCCACCTGAATTCTGGGTTCTCTTTTGCCCCTCTTTTCTCTGTGATGCCTTTCCATTTAGATACATATTGGGAACTGGTACCTTTCACTCTGTTATCTGTACCATTATATGCATCACCTATTACAAGCTGTTAAATGAGGGCCACACTCTCCTCCACTCCCTTTTGTGATTCTCTTGCTTTCCATTGGTTCTGGAGGGGAAGGTCCAGCCTTCAGTGATTTTAAGGAAAAAAGTACTGAGTCTGGTCTGGGACCATTTACCCTAGGTCAGGAAACTAGTCTTGTGAGATCCAAGTTCAGTTCCTAGCTTTAACACAGGCCTCCTTTATGACTTTGTGCAAATCACTGCATCTCTCTGTGCCTCATCTATAAAATGGAGATAATACTTCTCAGAGATGTTGTGAGGAAAAATTCATTAATGTTTGTGAGGTTCTCAAATCCTAGAGTGCTGGAAGCCTGGTGGGTAGCTAGATATAGAGCTGCAGCACTAAGCTTCTGAACTGTAATATGTATTTAAGACCTCTTTGATATAATTTTTTAGGCAGTGATACAGAAGACATCTCATTCTGTGATTCCTTTAATAAGTCACACAATGATGAATTTATGGAACACAGGACTAAAAATTCTAAATCACATAGAGCAGGATTAAAAGAACAAAGCAAAGGTACAGTGGTTTCATAGCTACTAAAACGTGTATGTGAAAATGTTTGTAGTGTAATTTTGCCTATATCACTTGTTTACAGGTCTCAGCTGGAGATGCAGCTGGGGAAACAAAGATTGGTTTAAACTTGAGAATTATAAAGTATTCGTTCAGTCCTGCACCTTATATATATAGTAGCCCAATGTCTATGACTCTGTAATGCTGAAATGCTGGCTGTTCCCTCCGGGCGGCCCGTGCTGCATGGGGAGTGTGGGGCCAAAACGACCGCTTGCGTCACTTGCTCCCCCTCAGCAGCCCAGCTGAGTGGCACAGAAGTCAGCCGAGCGCCACAGCGGGAAGCGAAGGGGGCGGGGTGGTGATGTGCAGCATGACAGCGGCTCCAGGCCCTGCCCCCTGGCTGTGAATGTCACCGCCCCACACCCCTTCACCTTGGCACTCGGCTGACTTCTGCGCTGCTCAGCCAGGCTGCCGTGTAGGAGCAAGTGGTGCAAGCGACCGTTTGGGCTCTGCGCTCCCCATGCAGCACGGGGAGTGCAGAGCCCAAACGGTCGTCTGGGCTCCGTGGACCCCAAGTGAGGCAGGAGGGGGAGGAGAAGATAAAGAGAGAGACAGAGAGAGAGGCAGGAGGCAGAGGACAGCTGAGAGAGAGAGAGAGAGAGAGAGAAAGGGAGAGGACAAGGCTTATGCCTACATTTTGAATACTGCATGCAGATGGGGTCAACTCACCTCAAAGGTATTTTGACATTGGAAAAAAGTTCAAAAAGGGTAACAAATATAATTAAGGGTATAGAACAGTTGCCATTTGAGGAAAGATTAATTAGACTTGGACTTTTCAGCTTGGAAAAGAGATGACTAAAGTGGGTTATGAGACAGGTCTATAAAATCATGAATGGTGTAGAGAAAGTAAATAAAGACATTATTTACTCCTTCCCAACATATCATATATATAGTAGCCCAATGTCTGTGACTCTGTAACACTGAAATGCTGGCTGTTCTCTCTGGGCGGCACTGTTGCCTCTTGCCATGGCGCTCGGCTGACTTCTGCACCGCTCAGCCGGGCCGCCGCAGGGGAGCAAGCGGCGCAAGCTACTGTTTGGGCCCCACGGTCCCCATGCAGCACCCCCATGCTGCATGGGGAGCACAGGGCCCAAACAGCCACTTGTGCTGCTTGCTCCCCCACAGCAGCCCAGCTGAGTGGCGCAGAAATCAGCCAAGAGCCACGGGGGCAGGGCGGTGACGTACATGGCCAGGGGACAGGGCCTGGACAAGCATCCTTGATGGAGACAGAGGAGCGCGGAGGGAGAGTGAGAGGCAGGAGGGGGAGAAGAGAAAGAGAGAGACAGAGAGAGAGGCAGAGGGCAAAGGAGAGCTGAGAGGGAGGGGGGAGGCAGCAGGAGGAGGGGAGAGAGAGAGAGAGAGAAAGAGAAAGAGACCTGGAGCGAGAGACCGGAGGCTTAGGAGAGAAGACTGACGTGGAGGAGAGATCTGAAAATCCCGTCTTATGACGGGCTAATTGGCTAGTGTAGAAATAAAAACCTCAGTTCAACTCATAAGTATAGTGTGTTGCAGAAAAGTTTACAAGCCACAAGTTAAGCTTTGTATGGCACAAAGCCAACCTACACATACCAGCATTGAGGGGAAGGGCCACAGAAGTCCATGGAGTTACACTTACACCAGTACACAAATCTGGCATAGTATATAGACCGAGAGTGGGAAAGATTGGCAAATCCAAAGATTTATGCACACAAGCGAGTTGCTCTTTGAGTTCTGTCCATGTAGTTCTGTACTTGCAGGATACGCATACATGCTCAGTGCCAAACTAGAATTCTGTAACAAAATAGAATCTTTTGGGCTCACACACCTACTCCCATTTGTAAATGGAAATTACTTAATGTAACTGGAGGCTCTTTGACATATGTGGAATACACATAGGGACCAGCACTTGAAGAACTAACTCTTCTGTTTCAAAGCTACATCCACAGTGGAACTGTCCAGTTTTCACTTGGGGCAGGATGACATTTCCAATTTTCCACCAACGTCTTCAAAATACTGAAGTTGCAGGTAGCACTATGCTAGCTGTCACTTGCTTTGGACCACCCATGCAGTGTGGTCTAGAGAAATGAACAAGAATTCCTCAATTCTTGTGCTACCCCTGCCATTATCTTGTATTACCTTCAGCAAGTCAAAGAGAGCCTAGTTTTCAGAAATGTTGAGCACCCGCAACAGCCTCCAAAGTCTCTCAAATATCTGCCTCAGTTTCGCAGCATACAATAGAAATAATGGAACAGGTTAGACCTCCCTCATCCAGCACCCTTGGACCTAGCCGGGTCCAAACAAAGGGATTTGCCAGACCAGGGGAGGTCCTTCCCAATATGGTCCACACTGTCCTGCTGCCCCTGGGTAGGGCTCCAGCCCGGCACCGCTGCTGCCTGCCCAGTCATGGCTCCCCAAGCTGGAGCTCCCTAGCTGCTGCTGCTGGACCTGGAGCTGTGCAGCCGGAGCTCTGCAGCCAAGGCTGGAGCTCTGCAGCCGTTCCCAGACCCCAAGCTCCACACCCAGAGCTCCGCCGCCACTGCTGGACCCCAGTTCCATGGCCAGGGCTGGAGTTCCCTGGCTGCGGCCGGGGCCAAAGCTCCACGGCCACTGCCGACCCAATACCTCCCAGCCACAGGGAGAACTCTCTGCTGTTCCGCCTGCCCCACTGTGTCCCTCCCTACATGAGGCTCTCAGGTGAGTCACTCCCTCCCCCCCACTCTGCTGCGCTCCTACCCCATGTCCCGACCTCCCTATACCTGGACTCTGTGGTCCAGGAACATCCCTGGTCCTGCTGGACCACGGATGTTGCCGGACCAAAGAGTCCCAGTTAAGGGAGGTACAGTCTGTATGTGCATGTTTTACAGTGCCAGAGAATATAAATTAGCTAATATTGGTACGTGTTAATTGGAAAGTAAAATGTTGTGTGTTTCATTGTACTAATGTATTCATTGTTATACTGCAAAATTGTAATTATAGTATGCTCTCTCAGCAGCCTTACAATACAGAGATTGGAATGCAAATTTCTGTACTAGTTGTCAAAGAAACAAATGTATCAGGGAATCTGACAAGGATAATATTGGTAAATGAGCCCAAACTATCAGTCTTTATTGTATTAAAATATTTTGCTTGGCAATTATGCTTTAGAGATCATGTGCAAGCTTATTAAAGACATGTTTTATAGCCAGTTGAATGAAATGTACAACAGTAAATGGAAGTCTGATCTGAACAAGGAATGGATTTGGCTAAGGAGGGGAAAGCAAGGAAGAGAGCTCAATATTCCGAAACTCTGCTGAATGATGATATGAGAAGCAAACATTGTACTTGGGGAGGTTGAGAGAGGCATCTAGGGCTCGGCTATTTTTTATCCTCAATGCAGGATTCCACAATGCTTTACAAGCTATGTACATAGACTACCAATTAAATGTACTTTGATATTTCATAGTACATTGGAAAAGAATGTCACATTGATAACCAGTAACAATCTAGGATGGTTTTCCCTCTCTGGTATAACTTCCAATTAGTGAGTAGGTACCTCCAAACATTATTAACTTATTCAAATTGCTAAAATATGGGCACACCTTTCCATTTTCCTGTTTGATATTTAGGGGACCTCTTATATCTCTATAAAGAGCATGAGGGAAGGGAGCTGTTAACGAGACGGGCCTGACTTCCACAGCTGATACTTAGCACACATTATAAAAGGCAGAAGAGATGTATGAAGTATATTGGGGACAGAAGAAGAAAAGACTAGGGAAAAAATAAGAGAGGCGGATCAAGATATTTCTCCTCTAGCCTTTCTTTCCTTGCCATTTATTTAAATTTCCTCTTGACCTTTTTACTGTGTTCCTCCTTCTCTGTCTTTAGTCTTTTCAGGATTTATTATCCTTCTCAAATCTGTTTTCTGAAGCAATCGTGCAGTATAGGATTTATTCCTACAGATGATGATGACACATTTACATACAGTATTTCCAACATCAAATATTTAAAAATTATGAGTCAGGTCACCCTGAAAATGCTTGAGATTTTTTAAAATGCAATTTGGGTTCTTTTGTCTTCTGATTTTGAAGCATTAAGGGTGCACTTAAGTCACACTATCATTCTGTTCTCCACAATTAAAAGGGTTAAAAGGTAACTTTTAAGTGAATTCTGAGATTCTCAAGTATTCAAAAAAACTTCTGCAACCAAGGCTTTAAGACAAACAGCAATCATGATAAAACATGATAAAATTATGAGTTGGCAACACAGCATGTTTAAAGAATGTTGGGTTCATTTGTTAAATTGATTTAGTAAAGAAATACTTTTTTGAATATTTTTGTTTGTATTTTTTTTAATGAAAATTAGAACTAGGGTGGGCATTTTCAGTGGAGATATTTCTATAGTGATCCCATTGACTGGAGCTGCTGAGTTAGCAAAAGATCCTAAGATCTTGTTAAAATTCACCTTGGGTTGAAGAATATTTAGTATTTAACTATACCTCATAGGGAAGTATGGCATCAAGATTGTATGATACTCTCTGGTAACATACCTAAGAACTGTCTCTGATCTTTTAATGTTATGTGTAATTACTGTGTTATGTAATTCCATGCCTATTTGTCTGTTCCATTACTGTAGTTATCCACGGTAACTGATCATACACACCAGCCAATTCTGTCATTTGTACTAAAAACAAGAAAGTATAGTTTTCTATGTATCTGTTACATTTTGTTTAATTATGGACTCCAAAATTTCAGCTTCTTCATTCAAGAAAAAAATTGCTGCCAAAAGTGTTTGTAAAAGTACACAACCAGAGCAATTTGTATATGAACTTTCTGACAAGTAAGTGTTACCAGTAGCTTTATATAAATTATTACCACAGAAAATGTTATTATTGACGATAGCGTGGGCCTAAATCACTGATGTCGTAAGTGGGCACAACTCCATGCATATGTAATACTATAATACATATTAAAATAGTAGTAATTAATAAAAGTAAACTATATAATGTAAATGTAAATTTTGAACAGATTTTATGAGATTTTTCAATTATCATGGAAGAACTAGAAATTTAGCCAATTCTCTTAGGGCATGTCTACACAGCAGGGCTTACCTCAAAATAAGCTATGCAAATTGAACTACGTCAATTGCATAGCTTATTTTCAAATTGTGAGCATCTACACAGCATTTATTTCAAAATAGAGCACTCTTCCGCCAACTTCCCTTACTCTTTGTACAATGAGGGTTACAGGAGTAAGAAGTAAGAAATCCTCCAGCTTAACAGCATTTCAACATTATTTCAAAGTAATTGCCTGCTGTGTAGATGCAGACTAAGTTACTTCAAAATAACACTGCTGTGTAGAGATACCCTTAGTGTATCCAATCAAGAAGTCTCTTTTCAAATGTGTCATTATCATTCCAGATAACAAGCCTGGCAGTGACAGCCCTGTTTTCTGTAACAATACTGATATTGCAGTACCATTATTTATCTCAGAAATGTTTTTATTTTACTTGTTATGAATATTAAATGATATCTGGAGTGTCTGAAGTAGGGCAGGTTCTTAATTACAGTGTTAACAATGTGTGAAGGTAGGGAAGATGGCAAAAAAATTAAATACATAAAAAGCTTCTCCCTGGCCCTTCCAGAGCAGACAGTAAGTTCTAGTGAGGGTATTTGCAATGATTCCTTGCCCCTTCAATGAAGGTTTGTTTGTCTGTGACTAAGACATATGTTATAAATGTCATACTAACTATGCAGTTATATTTTGATTACAAAAAATGAGGAACTCTACTGAAATTAGGATACAAGGATGCTAAAAAGTTATAGACCATGAACACAAATTGTTTACACATATTTTTTGTTTTGTAACTATAAAATATTTTTGTTAATTTTATATATTACCTTCTAGATTCAACTTAGAGATTCCCAAAACCTGCTGCTCAAAGATGCATGATACAATTATCTTTTCACCTCAGTACCTACCTAGCAGAAAGGTTTATGAAAGTAAATCAATGATAGGTATCAGAAACAGACAGACCAATGATACTGACACAAAGGTAAGAATTTAGATTGTGATTTTAAATGCTTGAGTGACATAGAAGCAACAAGTCCCACTTTGTGTCACTTTTGAAAATCCTACGAATAGATGCTAATGATTATACTTTAACTTGTCTTGCATTCAGTGCCTTTTGGGGTGCTGCTTCTGAGGGCAGGTCTACACTATGGTGCAACGTCAACCTCAGGCACACAACTCCAGCTATGTGAATAGTGTAGCTGGAATTCACATACCTTAGAGTTGCCACGGGATCGCCACTGATGGAAGTTGAAGGGAGAAGATCTCCCATCGACTCCCGTTTAGGATGTTAAAATGCGGGTAATGTGTAAACATGTAACTGCTGAAAAACTCTGTGGTTACACGCTCCCAGCAGACACCAGCTGCTGCACCATGCTGCTGCCTCTGTATCAGTGGCTCCCACCTGCAGCCCTGCTCCTGGAGAGTTGGTTGCTGCTTCTGCATCAGTATCAGAGTCACCAGTGCACACTACTCCCCTTATACTTCTCTTTCCATTGGAGTACCAGAGTCTACAAGAATGCAATTAGCAATTTAGTGCCTCCTTAATAGACCCACTAAATTGACCCTCAGAGGATTGATCACCACAGTGCTAATCTTCCAGAAAGTGTAACCCTGTCCTGAAATACAAAGCACAGAACTTGCTACTTAGGTAGATAGGAGGCAAAGGTGACTGTAAGCCACTTTCACATTTCCCTGATCTAGGGCTGCTTTGTGGCCTACAGTGTAATTTGCACAGCCCTTGAGGCCTGTCTAAACTACAGCAGTCTCTCTGGGATATCCACAATCTCCAATAAGCTATGTATAGATCTTCTCCCTCTGCACACCTCTCTCTCCCTCAGCATACCTCCTACCCTAGGATTTGGGAGAAGACCCTTGGAAGGCACTCTTAAGCTGTTGATTGCAACACCTGCAATTGTAGATACAGGGATTTTAGGGGTCCTTTTACACAAAATAAAGGGGATAAACCTGGAGCAGAGATCCCATCCCAGCTGTTGATTTATGTACCACAAGCTAAAGAGCAGTCACACTTTAGACACCTCATGCACCAGACAGTAGCCCTGGGTGGTTCCTAAATACCACATTGATGCAGTGGGAAAAAGGATACTTTATAGGGCTAGTCTTATGTAAACTCCTGGGTGTGAACCTGAATGGCCTCAGTTCTAGTCCCTACAATCCATACCTTTCCTTGTGCCAGAATTCAGTCACGTTGTCAGATCTCATTCAGGGCCCCTTTCTGTTGTCCTATCTATTGTCCATAAATGCTGATGCACCATGCTTCTCGACTAGAGAACTGCTGGCTCCTATTAACAGCTTGTGTGTCTCTACTCAGCTTTTCACCATATCCTTCACAGCCAAGTTCTCAACTACTGCCCCCAGCAGCCTACTCTCACCATCAGGTTCAGTCAGATGGCTCTCTTTTTGAACCAGATATTCACAAGAGCTCTGGTTGTTGCTGCTTTTTCCTGTTCCTCAGCTCTCAAATGCTTAACTAGGTCTCCGTTCCTTCCAAAATGTTCTAGTTCTCCACACACATTTTGGTGCAATTAAGGAATTCATTTAATCAAGATAATTGATGTTTCAGACTTAAAAAATGTCATTTGAGAATATATTTTTCTAACCTCGGCACTGCAGAACTACAAAAAGTATTATCTTAGATACTCTCAGGGGCTACGAAAAGAGCGTCTAGATTGGCACGGATGCTTTTGCGCAAAAGCACTTTTTGCGGAAAAGCGTCCGTGCCAATCTAGACGCAGTTTTGCGCAAGAAAGCCCCAATCGCCATTTTCACTACCTGGGCTTTTTTGCGCCAAACGGTTCTCGGTTGTCTACACTGGCCCTCTTGCACAAAAGCATTTGCGCAAGAGGGCTTTTTCCCGAACGGGAGAGTTATTGTATTTGCACAAGAACACTGACAATCTTACATTAGATCGTCAGTGTTCTTGCGCAAATTCAAGTGGCCAGTGTAGACAGCTGGCAAGTTTTTCCGCAAAACAGATGATTTTGCGGAAAAACTTGCCAGCTGTCTACACTGGCCACTTGAATTTGCGCAAGAACACTGACGATCTAATGTAAGATTGTCAGTGTTCTTGTGCAAATACAATAACTCTCCCGTTCGGGAAAAAGCCCTCTTGCGCAAATGCTTTTGTGCAAGAGGGCCAGTGTAGACAACCGAGAACCGTTTGGCGCAAAAAAGCCCAGGCCTGCTTCTGTTGCTTAAAAAGCTATTGTATGACATACCCACCATTAAGACACAGGGACTATGTCTAGACTGGCATGATTTTCCGCAAATGCTTTTAACGGAAAAGTTTTTCCGTTAAAAGCATTTGCGGAAAATCATGCCAGTCTAGACATAGTCCCTGTGTCTTAATGGTGGGTATGTCATACAATAGCTTTTTAAGCAACAGAAGCAGGGAACATTTGTCAAATGTTTACTGCAATTAACATTGTACGCATTACTTCAGGAGTGGCTTTAGTATGGCTTCATGAGTATATTTGCACACACACAAATCATGAAATCAAAAAGCCCAATGTACACTTCTTTGAGTCTGGTGCAGAGAGGAGGCATGGTGGTCAATTTTAGAGCAAGCTTGCTCCACAGTGGCAACTGCTGTGGTATGGGACTCTGCCCAGCTCCTTCTCTGTTTTGCTATCTGGAATTGCAACACCACTCAGGTCTGGCTCTGTAGGCTGCTGGTGGTCGGTGAGGGCAGGGGCTTGTTCTCTAGCTACTGGAGACGGGTCTGGGTCTGGATGATGGTACGGGGGTTTGGTTAGTGCCCACTGTTTAGTATAGTGCACCTCTTGAATAAGGAGGCTACATTAGCCTTTACTAATCCTCCTCCTTTTGTTATTAGTGTCTGAGAACTACCCTTCTTTATGCTATGGAAGAGTGACATAACCCAAAGCTGGTATTCTCCAGTACACACCCTTCTCTCCAACTCTGCATAACTTTCTTGGAAACAGCTTTATAGGTGACTATAGGATGGGCTACACACAGAAGAATACAAGCCCCTCCCCTGGCCAAAACCAAACACACCCAACTTGCAGCATTTTTTAAAATACTGAGGGTAGAATTATTGAATGTCCCTTCCCATTCTTTGTGTTTTGGAACATTAAGCTTTAAAGTATGTATATTATCACAGAAAGTAAGTAACTATCCAACAATATGTTTTATGTCCAACAGATTTTAAACTCTACTTTGGATCATGCCATCCAGACTGCAACCTGTTTAAAGAAAACTACGGAGCGAATGATGCAAGTAGTTGCAGAAGATCTAGCTAAAGTCAAAACTCATCGAAGTAAGCAGTTTAACTGGTCCATTTCAAACATTTGAATGTGTATCAGTTAAAATGTAGAAACAGAACTCTAACTGTAAAAAAAATGTGGATTAACAAATAGCACAAAAGTTAAGAACAGCTGACCTCCTGCGGGTGGTATTAGCAACAATTTAAGATCAAAAGAACAAATTGGAGAGCCCAGTGTATAGGCCAAGATCTCTTGAAACTTGTAATATCTATTAGTGAAGAATGGCTGGACAGTAGACTTCCCTCAGCCTTCAGGTATGGTTACATAGATCAATTCTATAAAGAACTCTAGTGTCTAAACTGTGTAATTTAGAGCCAGGAAGATAACATCTCATCCGTCACTAACACACTGCATGCTCTCAGCACTATCGCAATCCAGCTCTGTATCCTGGTTGGTACTGGACATCACAAAGGGAAACAACTGAACCTCATTGTTCACAGGTAATTTTTTTCAACAAGTTTTAGCTGTGACATTCATTCACTTTTGGAAGGACATATTCAAAGAAGAGTTTGTATTGTTAAATATACCCTTTAGTAAATTGTCTTTCAGCACCCCCGTTTATACTCCAAAATGTCACAGTATCTGTTGGATTTGGCCTTCATAATACAGCTAATAGCTGAAGTTTTGTATTTCAGCATTATGAATAAAAAAAATGTCAAACAGGGCTAAACTCCTTTAATGCCTATAAGGAAATTTGTCACTAGAATTGATTGTATATGTATTCTAAAATTCAGTGAGTAGTTTAGTTCAAACTTGGTGCTTAAGGACCAATTATACACATCAGATACTATTAGCATCCTTTTTTATAACCTCATACTTTAGGGAGAGGACACGTATTTGATTACTTCAAAATATGCAGGAGTCTTATTACTATCCTCGAAGATTGTGACCTCAGTAAAAAAAAACCTCACACAAGGGCATGGCATACTAAGAAATACTTGGAAGAAGATTACTTTCTTTTCACCCTCTAGAAATCGTTTAGCTATCTGATGAGTGCTGATCTATACAATGTCCCATAAGACACTGAGATACTTTGCATAAATTGTGACTTTTACACACATCACTATGGATCTAAAATTGTTGATGTCCGCAACCCAACATCATTGTACTAAAGCCATAGTATCCAACATGCTAGCCACAACTAGTGGCTATTTGGCCAGTTGCGTGTGGGGTAGTTCACTTTATCAGTAGGCACCATAGTTGCAACTAGGGATGATAGATGTAGGGTAACTATAGTCATGTACCCACATGAAAATATAGCGGTTACACAACTATTTGATAGTCCACAAGGGTGGGGCCAGCAGCCAAGGCACTCCCAGCCTCACTACCAGAGAGCCCCCTGCCACCACATGCTAGGAATGTTAAATTTAGATTAATTGGCTAATTGAATAGTCAATGTAATTTGCATAGACTATTCAATTAGTCAATAAGTGCACCTCCACCCTTTGAAGTGTAGCAACAGCCCCAGGGTTGTTGCTACACTTCAAAACGCAAAAGTGCTCCCAGCAGCGTTTCAAAGATGGAGTGCCACATGCAGCCCAGGGTCAGTGGGGGAATCCTCAGCTGGCCTCAGTCTCTACATGGTGCTGCTGCTTTGAAGCATCCCCTTCTCTTCCTACCCCTTGCTGCATCTGATAGTGAGGGAAAGCAGTCAAATATGGTGTTTGTGGTGAGCTGGCTTTTAAGCCAGCTCCTCACAGACACTGGCAGCTGCTCTGTCCTCTCCCCCCCCTGCCTCTGATACAGAGGCAGCAAGGGCAGGGAATGAGTGTAGGGGCGGGGAATGCATGTAGTCAACAAGATTGATAAGCCTAGGCTTACCATATAGTCTACATGACCTCCCTAATGACTACTGTTTCAGAACTGGTTGAACACCATGGGACTAAAGTGTGGGCTCTAGGGTGTGACTGAGGATGAGAGCTTCAGCTTTCAGGTGGGGGGGAGGAGGCCAGGAAGAGCCTCCAGTGGCTCCCGGTCAGCAGTGCAGAGGAGGTTCTACAGCCCTGGCCCTGCAGAACATGCTGCATCCCAGAAGCAGCCAGCAGCAGGTTCTAGCCCAGGTCAGGAGCAGTGCACAGAGTCCTGTTCACTCCCCTAGGAGCTGGACATTCTTCTGGCCACTTCTGAGGCACAGAGCAGCCTGCCTCCGAGGACGGGCAGGTAACCTGCCTTAGCATTTCCACTGATCACCCTGCAGCAACTAGACCCAATACCTAACATTCCGTGACCCAGTACTGTCTCCCAACCTGCACAGTTTGAAGACCATGTGCCTGGTAAAGCTAAGCAATTTAAAAATAATTCAGTTTGCATGTAATGCAACATGAGAAAAAACATGACAAACTAATAGAGGCAGCAAGTGGGGGGGACGTGACTGATGTTTTGATTATCCAATAAGCATTTGCTTATCAGATAGCCAACTGGTCATTCACATCTAGTTACAGCACTCCTGTTTTAAAAATATCAAGATTTATCAATGTTAAGGAACAGGAAATTGATTGAATCATGTTTTTTCCACTTATATTTCAATTAATTTTTCTAAAGCAAGGTTCATTCCTGTTTAATTTAGTTGCAAAACATTATATAGCTTTTTGATTATATTACAGGCCTACATAATATTGATACATTTATTCAGATTAATTTTTACATTATAAAAAAGGGGAAAGTTAATTTACTAGCTTTACAGGCAGTCCCCGGGTTACATGGATCCGACTTACAACGGATCCCTACTTACAAACGGGGTGAGGCAACCCCGCACTAGCTGCTTCCCCCCAGCAGACCAGGGAGATGTGAAGCTAGCACCCCCCCTCGCCCCCCAGACGACCAGGGAGACGTGGAGCGGCTTTTCTCAGCAGACACCTCAGCTTGAGAATAAAGGACTGAGGGAAGTGAAGTGTGGGAGAATAAAACTGAGCTCTGGAGAAATGGTTGGCTAGAGTATCCCCTACAATATGTACCAGTTCCGACTTACATACAAATTCAACTTAAGAACAAACCTACAGTCCCTATCTTGTACATAACCCGGGGACTGCCTGTATTTCACTCTGGATTTTGTGTCAAGCTATAACTGGAGAGAAACTGGAATTTAAAAAGTGCTCAT